GGTGAGGGCGACCTTCCCCTCTCGGTTCAGATAGCCAAACCATTCGCCGTGGTCGGGATCGCGAAACTGGGTAAGGGGTAGACCAGGTCAGCCAGCGCCCGCAGTCCCCACTGCAGCGACGCGGCCGGACCCGACCTGGGGAGGAAGCTGCGGGGATACTCCTCTTTCCTGGCCAGTGCAGTGCAGCCCCTTCTCCGTTCTCAGAACAAACCAGTCGCACCAAAACTTACTGCCCTAGCCCTGCCGGGTGCGGAGGCTGATGCAAGAAGATCCCCGTGAGCACGAGGCCAGCCTGAACTGCATAGTGAGGCCCTGTCTCAAAAAACCAATCCATAACGGCCAGGCGTGGTGGTGCACACGGGTCATCCCAGCACTCGGGAGGCTGAGACAGGAAGACTACCTCGAGTTCGAGGACAGCCTGTGCTACAAAATGAGTTCAAGACCAGCCTGAAATACATGAGTCCCTGTCTCAAAAGAAAAAACAAAAACAAAACCCATAAATAGAAAAATATAAATAAAGAGCTAAATGGAGCTACTTCTCAGATACATCAGACCACTCACATCAAAGTCCACCAGCAAAACGTCCCTTAAAATTGTGGCCTCCAGGAAGAGTACAGCAGCCCCCTCTATCCACGCTACCTTTTGAGTGACAATGTCTGTGTCCCTGCCTATTTTACCACTTATTTAGAGACAGGAAAATAATAACCCAGGGTACTGGAAGTTTGCTTTCTGCATTGTCCGGCTGCTCTGTGATCATAAGTGACCTGTGGATTTTTTTGTAACTGTTTTATGTCTCTGTCTCTCTCCTCTCTATTTAAGCACATTGCATCCCTGTTTCATTTCTTTTCTCTTTTGGGGAGGCAGGGTCTCGCTATATAGTTCAGGCTAGCTTTGAATTAACTTCTGGGCTGGCCTCCAACTGGCAGTGACACTCCTGCCTCAGCTGCCCGAGTGCTGGGATGATGGGTGTGCACCACCATGCCTGGCTTTCCATTTCATTTTATAGTAGCTCCTAGTGGCCTTCCTGAAACCATAGTGTAGACAGGCCAGGCCTGATGCATGCTGTTTGGAAATTTGCATAAAGATGGCTGGGATGGCCACAGTGCCCAGTGTGAGCTTTGTCACCCACTTGGGGGTCTGGGAGCCCTTGGTTGGGTCCCCTTCACCTCCCAGCTCCTTGGTTTCTCCAGTGCTAGTCCTTCTTGGCCCCTCTTCTCCACTCGAAAGCTTACTTTCCCTCATGGCTCTTAGTATCTTCTATGTTCTTGGTTTTGATTTTTTGAGGCAGGGTCTTACTATGTAGCACAGGCTGGACTTGAACTCGTGGCAGTCCTCCTGCCTCAGCCTTCTGAGTGCTGGGATTACAGGAATGGGCCATCATGCCCCACTTTGTTTGTTTTTTGTACTGGGGATGGAACTCAGGACCTTGTGGTTTCAAGGCAGGCGGCAGCAGCCCTGAGCTAAATCCCCAGTCCCTGTTTTTTTGTTTTTTGGTACCAGGGTTCAAATGTGGGACCTTGCACTTTCAAGGTCCAGTCTGTTTTTTTGTTTGTTTGTTTGTTTGTTTGTTTTTTGTACCACGGATTGAACTTGGGACCTTGTGCTTGCGAGGCAGGCAGTGGCACCACTGAGCTAAATCCCCGGCCCTAGCCCCTATTTTTGAGACAAGGTCTCACTAGCCTTGGGTGGCCTCAAACTCCCAGTGATCCTCCTGCCTCATCCTTCACTGCTGGGATGACAGGTATGTGCCCAGCTCTCGTCCTTTTGGTTTAGTTTTTTGAGACAGGGTCTCATTGGGAACTTGCAGGGATCCTCCTGCCTTTACTTTCCAAGCACTAGTGGTGTTCCTGGCTAGTATCATTTGTATTCTCATGACACCTAAACATGTGGGGCCAGCCCAGATCTCTCCCTCTTCAGTGTGTGTGTGCATGCATGGTACTGGGGAATGAACTCAGAAGTGCTAAGCTACACCCCCGATCCCTTTTAATTTTGAGTCATCGTCTAAATTGCCCAAACTGGGCTCAAATTTGAGGTCCTCCAGTCTCAGCCTCCCAGATGCTGGGATTATAGGCCTGCGCCCTGCCTAGCCCTCCCCCTGAACTGCCTCACTCCCAAGGCCACCAGCCCCTCTGTCCCAAGGCTATGGACACTCCGCAGACAGTCTGCCCAGCCCCTCGAGTGCCCTCAGACCCCCTTGATAGGCCTTCACAGGAAGGAGACCACAAGGCCTATCCCACTTGATCATTTTCCATGGTCCTGCTGCTCCCTCCCCGACAATCCGGAGCCCCAGGAGGTGGGGCTTCTAGGGTGACTGTGGAGCTCACCTGGCAGAAGGTGTACTCTGCAACCTGCTCAAAGAGGCGCAGCAGGGCTGGGTCCCCGCTGTCTGTGTAAGCCATGAGGAAGGCGATCATGGCTTCACTGTGCGGCCACCAGAGTTTCATGTCCCACTCGAGCTGAGGGCAGAGGAGCCCAGTGGCCAGGCGCCCTCCACAGGGACATGCAGCCCAGTCTCTCTGGCTCCCGTACCTGGGAATCTTGGGGATCTCGAAGGCCCTCAGAATGGGGATGGCTGGCTGGCCTGCTAAAGGGCCAGGGGCCCCATCACTGCCAGGGCAAATGGGTCACGGGGGCTCCTTGTGGCAGGGGGTGGTTTCACATCCTGCCAGCGGCCCACCTGGGTGGGGCAGAGGCCGTCGGCATCCTGGAAGTAGAAGAGGCCCCCATGCTCCAGGTCCCATCCGGAGTGGAAGGGCAGCAGGAGGAACTTCTCAATCACATGGGCTCGAAGTTCAGGGTCGCCTTTCCTGCTGGCATAGCGGAGCAGGAACCAGCCGGCCTCCAGCGCGTGGCCTGGGGAGGGGTCCACATGGGGGGTGGCGGCTCATAGCCCCAGTCCTATCACACCTGAGCCCCGGGCCTACTTCACCCCTCACCTGGGTTCTGGTGTCGCCCCAGGCAGCCAGGGAGCTCCTGGCCATCTTCAGATATGTTCTCCAGGACGGCTTGGCCATTCCTCTGCAGGGGAGGGGCAGGAGGTGGCTCCATCCTGGGCCCCCAACTCCTTTGCTCAGGAACCCTCCCGCCAGAGCATTCCAAACGGTGGGCTCCAAAGGGCCATAGATCAGGCTCCACCTGGGCTCGGACCTCTCCCTCCAGCCCCGCTGGCATCCCCAACCTGGACGTGCTGCAGAATCCTCTGGGCGCACCAGTCCCCCAGCTCGGCGTATCTGCCGGCCAGCACCTCATCCTCGTCCCCAAGCTGTTCCACGAGACTCAGCAACATCATGGGCACCGCCATGGGCTCAGCAGCTGGGGTCCCCGCGAGCTGGGGCCG